CTTTGGTAAAAAATTAAGTTAATTTCCCCATCAAATCAGAATAGGGTAATGACAAATATGATACTTTCCCAGCCCCTTCCTCCCCCCTCCCCTCCCACCTTCTTACCAGGCTTTATTTCAATCCTGATTTTTCTGCCTTCTCCATCCCAGCAGTGCTGGGGGATGGGGACTGGAGGTTGCAGTGAGTTCATCACACATTGTTTCTGCTGCTCTTTCCTCCTCAGGGGAAGACTCCTCACACTTTTTTTCTGCTCTGGCATGGAGTCCTTCCCATGGGAAACAGTCCTCTCTGAGCTTCTACAGTGAGTCCTTCCCATGGGTGCAGTTCTCCACAAACTGCTCCACCATGGGTCTTTTCCACAGAGTGAAATCAAATCCTTCAAGGAACAAGGCTCCTCCAGCATGGGTCCCCCGCAAGTTCTACCACAAACCTGCTCTAGTGTTGATTTCCCACAGGGTCACAGCCTCCTTTGGACATTCATATGCTCTGGCACAGCTGCAAGGGCTGCAGATGGATATCTGCTTCACTATGAATCTCTGCAGATTGCAGGGAGATAGCCTGCCTCGCGGTGGTCTTCATCACGGGTTGCAGGGAAAATATGCACCTGGAGCACCCCCTTCCAGGTGATATTTACTGTCCTTTTCTGCAGAGCTATTTCTCTCACATATTCTCACTCCCCTCTGGCTGCAATTGCTTCTTTGCAGTAACTTTTTTTCTCCCTTCCTAAATCTGTTATTCCAGAATGCTACCACTGTTGCTGCTGAGCTTTGCCTTGGCCAGCAGTGGGTTGTTCTTGTAGATGGCTGGCATTGACTCTGACAGATATTAGGGAAACTTCCCACAGAAGACACCTTTGTAGCCCCCCAGCTACCAAAATCCGTCCACACAAATCCAATACGATATTTTAGGCATTTTACCTCAGACATTACCTTAACACTTCAGAAATACCATGTTCCAGGTTAACTGCGCTGAATCAAGGTGAAGAATGTTCTTTGACGACATCAAACTGCAATTCTGCAACTGGACTTGTCTATCTCGCATTGGCCTTTTTAGCCATCAGCACGCTTGTAGCAAGCGTGAGTGGAACCTTTCTCAAATCTTCGTTTGCGAAGCCCAGCCATGATGAAATACAAGAAATGTGAAGAATGATTAACACTGATCATCTGGTTAGTGCCAGTGAAAAACAGATAAATGTAAAGACCTCTTTTGGTAGTATCTCTGATCCACAATTTTTTGAGTATAAAATAAAGGAAGGTGTAATACAACATTTTTGCAACCTAGCATTGCTTCCAGTTATGAAACAGTCTTTTATCTATTCAGCTCTAGTGGTATTTAGCATACTAAAATTTCTGTAATTCATCTTTTGTTTTAATTTCTCACCCATTTCTTTACTTCTGAAAACTTCTATGTGTGCTTCTGTGCAAATGAAGGCATTAATGCCACCTCTAAAATATGTCATGCTTATAACCAGAGGCACAGGGATGCTGATTCCACTAGTGTTAGTAAAAGTCTTGCAGTGAACCACATTGATAGTGGGATTTCAGTTACTGCATGTTTGCAACGTAGTACATAACTAATCATTATGTGCTTGGGGAGATGTCACAAATTCAAAATTACTTAAGCATATTTTTGATTTTTAAATAACACTTATTTTGACAAACACTTTTATTTTGATATCTGTTCTTAAAAATACCTATCGTGAGTAGAAAAATACCATTTCTCATTTCAGTGACATTTTGGTAATGGTATAATTTTCTGCCAGTAATGCCATATTTTTGCAAACAGGAAATTATATATTTGAAATTCCTTCTTTCCTTTCTGTTTCTGGAGGCTGTCTATGTGGCTTTCAATTTCTGAGTTATGTTGAAGATGGAATACAACAACCATGTGTATATATAAGCCATGCCAACTGTGCTTCTGCCTAGTCTTTCAGATTTCTGTAGCTATGGATTCTCTACCGTTCTCAAGGAAAAAAATCACTAACCTCAATATGAAACCTTAAGGCAAAGGCCAGTGAGATTGAAAGATTTTATAGCTGGATCATCAGCACACTGATCTATACTTTAGACACAAATTTAAAAGTGAAAGTGGAATTACAGTGGCTTTAAAGAGTCCTTATTGGATTGCCCAGAAAATGCAGCCCCTCTTTGGTGACTCTCTAAGGATTCATTATTCAGTCCCAGATGTAGCGTGGTTGACTTATTTGCAACTGCAAAAGAAAACAGGGAAATGTAATTTTTTGGTTTCTCTCAGTGTGCTCAGCTTTGATTACCTTGGAAGATAGGCTCTTATTCCAAGACATTTACAGTCTGAGATCAGATTTTGGCACCCTTTCTCATGCTGAATAGCATTAGTTAGGGCTGAGCTGCTGCTCATTCAGGTCAGATAGATCAGAATTAGTCATCAGTTGAGATGGTGATATTTGTGTCGAGACCTGATGGTGATTCAAACATCTTTCCATGAGGCAATGATGCAAATGTTTTTTGCTGCTTCTAGCTGCTTATCTGTACCTCTCTTTTATATGAGTACCATAAAAATGCCTTTGGTTAAAAAAAAGTGCTTTAAGAAGGAAACTGAATGAATGAAACTGCTTGGCACACAAAAAAGCTGGAGGAATTTTGTATAGAAATATTAGCGTGCAAGAAAGCCTATACAACTAACATGGTCCTAAGAAACCAACCTGTAAGGCTCACAGGTTTTCACAGGGATGCTAATAATAGATGAACAATTATTAGTTTGCCTTTTTGAACACTGTCTCTTGCCAACCCTAAATCCCCTTCTCTAGTGCAGCATTCAGCTTGCAGGATAAATGGATGATGAGGTAGACAGTTGTGGTGTGGAAGGGATTCAAACAATGTGAATGAGATTTTGATCTTCTGGGACTCCTGTGAGACAGAGAGTGAAGAGGAGGAAAGACAAACTGGTCTTCATTTGCAGAAAAGGCTTTCATCTCTTCTGTGCTGCGTGGCTATGGCTGAGAGGGGAGTTGTCTTCCTGCTTGTATTAAATTGCCAGACGTTTAATTTTGACCAGATGCACCGCGCAATTATGGCAGCTGATGGATAGTTATAAATGAATTAGTCTTTGGCAAACAACTTTATTTCATGTAAGATCAGCATCACAGACGACACAGAAAAGCAAATTTTATGACAGGGTCAGCGCATTTTTTAAATGCTCAGATTTCTTGGCAGAATAAAAGGACACATTAGCGCAAAGAGGCAAAGTATCCTAATTTCTAAGCATCCCTCTGGAACAGACGCCTTTCTGCTCTTCCCACACAGCAAGGAGGACTAAATACCGATGGGCAGTCTGAACCTTGCCTCTGTTTGCTGAACTTTCCTTTTTGCTTCGGTTCGTATTGGGGTTATAGGTAGCATTCCTGTCACCACCACCACGCTCCCCACACTAATTGTCATGAAGTACAGAAGGTTCAAGCATGCTTGGTTCCCAAGGCTGCTAATGAGCCCTGAGCTCTTCTCACCCCTAATGAATCAAGGTTTTTTTGTGGGGGATTCTCATCCTTCTGTCCTTTTCCCTGGTCAGGGGAGGAGTCAAGAGTTCACACAACTGAACAATGACTTTACAGTGTAAAGACGATGCAGCTGTGCCATCTGAAGCCATCCTCAGTTATGAGCAACAAAGCTTAAATACATTGTACTGTGAAGAGGTACAGCTCTGTGAGTGTGAAGCATAGCTTTTGCTTCTGCTTCACTGACCTGTCTGCTTGCGACAGCGACGGGCCCTTGACAGGAGCTTAGGCAGGGAGAGCTGCGTAGGGCGACTCTTTCAAAACCACTCTCTGTAACACTGAGCGCAGGAAGGGAAGCAAAATGAAGTTTTAGTTGATCTCTGATGGGGGGGGGTACTGCTACCTTCTCCAGAAAATTCAATGACCTTCATTTAAAAATAATTGATTTTAATCCAACTCCACTCCAGGTGTTCAGTAAGTTCACTGAAGCAGGCAGTAGTTCATATGTTTTAGCAGTAGAGAGTATTCATGCTAAAGTGATGCTTACGCAGTCATACGCACAAACTCCTCCTAGTAAATCACACATTGCACTATCTCACTGCACTTTACTGTCTTACTGTCTAGGGACTCTTCATATAGTAGAGGTTAAAATCATCAGAAGTTTGGGCTAAACTACCTTTTACCATCTACTTAATTCACCTTCCTTTAGGCATTTCAGATATGACACTGTGCGCTCCCTTGGCTACATTTATCTTACATGCAAAGATGTATGTGATATATTTTTTGGTATGTGTGTACAGATATATATGCACAAAACTACAGGTACATATAAATACTACTGTATATTTTCTTGAAATACATAGAAGTAGATTAGTATATGATATATATCATACATATATATTATATGTAAACTGTCACATGCTTCCCTAGAAACATTATTCCTTGTGCATATATTTGTATATATATTTACACAAGTAAAGACATACATGTACTCTAAATTTCATGCTATTTCTATAGCAGCAAATGAAAATTTCAATCTGATAAAATAACTTCGTTAATGGTAATAGAGATTACAAATTTATCAGTTATAATACTCTGGACTAATCCTTGCACAAAGGTGAAGTGGTTTTTTTAAAAAGTTTTGGTAATAGATAAGTGAAGCCAAAAGCAACATCTGTAGAAGAAATCTAATTTTGCTGTAATAGGCTGAAGATCATCATTTTGGGTTTTAATAATGCACAGAAACATCTGCTGTTTTCCTTGATTGCATGAGAGAGAAAGGGAAAAGTTAAAAAAAAATGAAGGCAGCCTAGTGTTTTTTCATTCTTAAGTGAAAAGGGAGGATGGGAAATAAAACAGTCCAGTTTTAAATACCTTGTTCTGTTCATGTGCAGGTTCAAAACTTTTGATTGCTCTCCCGCCTGGCGTGGTGGGTTGATAGATCAGGGAGCAGTGGCGAAAGTTGACAACCCCCTGTGGCTGACCCCTCATGTTTTCTCTTGCCTAATCGAATTTTACGTGTGTTTCCAGATAGCTGATCAGCTTCCCTGGATTTCGCTGACGCCACAGGAAAGCTTTGCCTGAAGATGGAAACACTGGAGTCAGAACTGACCTGCCCTATCTGTCTGGAGCTGTTTGAAGACCCGCTGCTGCTGCCTTGCGCTCACAGCCTCTGCTTCAACTGCGCACACCGCATCCTGGTCTCCCACTGCGCCACCAACGAGCCGGTGGAGTCTATCACCGCCTTCCAGTGCCCGACCTGCCGCTATGTCATCACCCTCAGCCAGCGCGGTCTAGAAGGGCTCAAGCGCAACGTCACCCTGCAGAACATCATCGACAGGTTTCAGAAAGCCTCGGTCAGCGGGCCCAATTCCCCCAGCGAGACCCGCCGGGAGCGGGCATTTGATAACAACAGCATGTCGTCCTGCGAGAAGGTCCTCTGCCAGTTCTGCGACCAAGACCCTGCCCAGGAGGCAGTGAAAACCTGCGTTACCTGCGAGGTGTCCTACTGCGAGGAGTGCCTGAAAGCCACTCACCCCAATAAGAAGCCGTTCACTGGCCACCGTCTCATCGAGCCCATCCCGGACTCCCACATCAGGGGATTAATGTGCTTGGAGCATGAGGATGAGAAAGTTAATATGTACTGCGTGACTGATGACCAGTTAATTTGTGCCTTGTGTAAACTGGTCGGGCGACACCGTGACCATCAGGTGGCAGCTTTAAGTGACCGCTATGACAAGCTAAAGGTCAGTGTTATCTATCAGCTTTCCTAGCCAAGCAGTGTGTGGTTGGGAAGGAAAGTACCCTTCAGTTGAATGCTAAATTCCTTGTTCGGGCAGGGTTTGGGAAAGGTGGATGTGCAGTCTCTAATCAGATGAGATACAAATACACATCTGTATGTGTGTTTGCTCATCACCATTTAAAATTTGTCAGATTTCACTTTAAGAAAAATTCCTCAGTTGTGCTTTGATTTCTCTAAAGCTATCATAAGGAGTATGTAGTATATACTACTGTTTAGGTGAATTTCTTTATGTACCTGCAGCTTTATTCCTGGCAGCTGGCAAGGTATAGTGCTGACTGCACATACACAGGCATTGATTGATTGAAATGTCAGCCATTCTTTGCATATGCTTTGCTGTTGACTATTTTTCATTAGGTTGCTTTCATTGTGAAAAGCCCTTCATATCACCACTAACAGGAGATGCATTTATCTGTGCTGGCTTCAGGGATGCCAGCTGCCCGTCCAGCCAGGGAAACTGAACGCTGGCTCTGCTCTTCCCGCGCTACCTCCCATCATCCTCGCAGGCAGTGCAGTCCTGAAAACAAAACTAGAATTGTTTCTGAGCTTGTTGCATTCCCACAGTTTGGCAAGCTTCTGGCACATGTCCTGCCAGGTGGCTGGAAGTCTCTGGCAGCCTGGCCTTGCACAGGATGCCCTGGATGAGGTAGCAGTGGGCAGTCAGGTCTCAGGGTTCTCTCGAGGCTCTTAGGGCTGCTGGCGGAGGCAGAGCTCCTGCTGAATATTGAGGCCAAGGTGAGTGGCTTCCCATCCACCTGGGTGCACATTTCTCTCGTGCCAACTCCTGTGCTGCTGCAGAGCCAAGGCAGGAATTAGGCATCTCATACTTACCTCCACCTGCTCCCTCCAGACAGTCAGTGTGTGCCTGTGTGCAGGGGGATTTTTCAAAAATGGAGTACAGTCAAGAAATCACAGGCATGGAAAGCAAAGCTTATCTGCCAGCCTTCTCACACAGAATTTTGAAGGTGGAAAAGAAACTGAATTGTTAGATTTAACTAACTTAAATCCTTTCAGATAAAAATGTGTGACTGCACACATGTCTATGATAACTTTAGGTGATTGCAGGTGAAATCTACGTGCACATTCTGTGAGGGTTTTTTACCTCTATGAATATGCAAACATACAGATCATATTCTATGATTATATTAACATAATGAAAGACACTTCTCTGCCTGGACCAAATAGCTTCCTTGCATCTCTATAAGACGTTATTTACTAAGGAGGAGATGTTATTTTTGCTTTCTTCTTTTTCTAAACTGATCTGTTATTTTAATAGTTTATCCATTGATAATGTTGAGCGTGAGCAATAAACATGAATTGAAGATGTGTGAATTTACAGTGCTTTTTAATAATCTAGTGGGCTTACGTCCTTAACAGGTGCTACTATTTAGTAAGATAACAGTGAATGGTTTATCAGCGTTATACCAGTAGGAATAGACTACTTAACATGAAATACCTTCAACATTAAATGCTGGATAAGTGTATTTTTGTGGATTTAAAAAAGTAATAAATGTTTCTTAGTGCTAATGTACATAGATAATGTAAGTCTTGAAAGAAGACTTTAAAAGGCATGTCTTCTCTCTTGATATCTTTGACTCAATATTGCAGATAGTTGTGAAGAAGATGAGAGTATTTTTGCACAATCTGTGGCTCTTCTGTGCAAAGATGCCTGTTCAAAAAAGTGTCTTTAAACATTAGGCTTTAAGAAGGTGCATCGCAGAAACACAAATAACCTTTGCTTTGGATGTTACCCACTTTAGCTACCTGGCAGAACTCTAATAAAGTACGTTCCACCAGCCTTCTTGAAGATTAATTAAAATACTAATTTAATGGTTAATGTAGACCTAGGTCAAATAACTCTTATCGAGTTGCCTCATACCGACAACTCCTAGCATCATTTATGATTATCTGTACAATTTCTTTTGAGATGGGGACTGTCTTCGTACCCACACTGCATAAAACAAGTTTACACGGACAATTACTAGTCTCTCTGAAATCCTGTTCCTATTGTCTTTGCCATGAAGCAGCCTATTTCACGTTGCTAATGCCAGTGACGAAATCAGTCATGGCAATTATGCCAGCGATTACAACACATTTATGCTCTGATTCCAGGAACAGTAGGCTAGGTGTTTCCCATCCAGATCCAGCATCCATTACCTGTTCATAAGAAGGTAATCTGAAACCTATGTCTTCCCTTTCCCCATTAGCTTTTCTGTCTCAGCAATTTGTTCTGGTTTATAAGTCAGTCTTGGAAAATGAGATTTTCAGTTCTGTAGATTGGCATTTACCCCCCAAGAAGTGTAAGAATGATACTGGGTCACACCAGTGTTTGGTAGCTGATGGGCAAGACTTTCAGGCCCCTTTCACTTTCAGGCCTCCTCTTCCTTTATAAATGGTTATATGACCTCTTGAGTCACTGGTCTTTCTGCTAACATAATATTAGGTATGCGCTTGCAGATGGTCTGTTAATTTACAGGTAATGTGCACACACCATTGGCAAATTAAATATTCAAATAGATTAGAAAATCCCCACTAGAGAAAATGGGTTGTTGCGTGCTATATTATTGTGGTGGCTTTTTAATATACGTGGGGTTTGATGTATCTTTAAACTCTTTAAAATATTGTAAAAAAAATCTGAAAGAATGAGGATGAGGTAGCCAGTAGTATAGTGTATCAATTAAAAAAATGTGTGGTTAACTCTATCTTCTAAAAAAAAAAAAGCTAAACACTTCAAGTGACTCTTGTGATTTTTCTTTTTAAATTGACACACTGTTGATATTAACAACAGTGACTGGTGTTCCTCTGGGTGTTAAGCTATGCTAGTTACTTACTTCTCTTGCAGTGGTGTTGCTAATTGTTTAAACAATACCTCACCCTTCATTAAGCATAGGACAAAAGATGCCATTACAATTTAGCTCCTTTAGTGGCAAAAATAAAACTCCTTAATTAGGAGTTCTGTACACTTGTCCAACAGAGGCGTCTATGCTGAAGTGTGTTTAACAGTCAGTGTAACAGCAATTGTGGACATCTCAAAATGAGGAAGTGTTTTCTGTAGCAACTACATCCCTAGCCCTGAGAGGTGCTTTTATTTCTCAGTTTACAGTGGGATTGAGGGGATTGAGGGCACTTGTGTTCTTCCAGGAGCAATCCTTTCTTTGCTAGCTACATGATCACAGGATATACATTCATACTTATTTTGGTTTAGTGATTATAGATGTACTTTGGAGGTTTTTTTCGTGGTTTTGTTTGTGTTTTTTTTTTAAGTGGATCATACACATACGCATAGTAATAATGGAGAAAACAATAAGCCATGACCAAAATAGAGAACAGGAAATATCTTGGTGATACACTAGATTTATGAGATGATGGTCAAAATTATGATATAAATTAAAAATAATTTTTAGCTGCAAAAACAGTGAGAGCTTTAAACATCAAAATAACAAATGCCTGTACTTACTACACCATATTACCTACAAGAAAATATTTATAGCTAATTACTTTTGATACCAATTCTTTCACTTTTGTCTTTTTGCAATGAAAAGAAACAATTTAGAAGTACAATCTTCTTTTTTTCAGACAAAAATCATAAAATTAACATTGTTCTATAGATATATTTAGACTCATTAAAGTGGAAAAAAATCCTGAAAGATAAGATTTATTTTGAAGAAGAGAGAATATTTGAGGGAAAACAACCTTACAAGATGTGAATGGAAAGATATTGCTCATTTAATATTAGCAAAGGGCCATGAAGAGGTGTAACAAAAGAGAAAGATAGATGATAAAATGTATTTTTAAGTGGTATAAAGCCAGAACAACGCTACTGAAACTGATTTTTTCACTTGTCTTCATATTTACTGAGAATTTGGCCTCTGACAAATATCTTCCTACCAAAAAATAATTTTGGCACAATTTTCGTATTTTTTTAGATCAAGAAATATTTTCTGTTGACTCAAACTGCTGTAGGTTAGCTTTGGTTCTCCATATGTTTGTTTGAAATTTATTAGCACTCATTTATTTTCAGTATGTTTATGAAGGCAGGCCAGCCCCTCTGAATAGCACTCAGCTAGTCCAGAAACAAAAGGGACCTTCTTGTTTGTGTGGTTTTCACCCTGTTTTAGTGGCAGAATCCATACACATCTATTTTTCCTACATTCAGGATGCAAGGATTAAGTTTTCTATGGTGTGTCAATTCAACTACTCGCGAATAATTTTTTTTTGTTGGAAAGCAGTCATAAATTGTTGTGCAAGTTTAACTATAGTTAAAACACTGTGTCCAGCCTGACAAAATGTAGAACTTATGGACTTTCATTATTATTAGATTAGATGCAGCTTGATACATTATCTGATATTACTTGATTATTTAACTCAGAAACAGATTTAAAAATACAGCTGTTTGTGCTTCTGTATTTGCAAAGATCCAAAAGTTTTAAGTTGTTCCATAGAAGAAGATCAACATAGGAATAAACAATTTGACTACAATGATTTTCCAGCTACACTTATTTAATTACATTGACATATAATTATGAAGGCAAACTTTAGAACATTGTCTCTTTAGTTTAGTGTTATCTCAAACATCTGTGTTTCCTCTGTTTGGTATTTCTTTGTCAGAGTTTAGAAGGATAATAGAAAGTGTTTGGTATTACCAAATACCAATATTAGTCTTTTATGACGAGAGTGGTGTGGGTTCTTTATATTAGAAACATTTTGAAGTCGCTCATGGATATAACTGTGGACAATAAACTATGGTTTTACAGTAGTTCTAGGTACTGTGAGGTTGGTTTTATTTTATGTGCCTACGTTCCTTTTGGTAATATATGCTATGGTTTTTCAAAACTTACTTTCACAAATTTAACAGTTGGCAAGTCTTTCACATACTGTTTATTTCCTTCAATTTTAGTGGAAATGATGGTGTTGAAGGCCTAATCTATTCCAGAAGAACAAAAGAAT